ATGCTTAATTGCAATACATGATTAACTAATGTATTATGATTATTGTGTTTTTAAATGTAAATGGTGATTAGGATAGAAAAGAATCAAAGTATGTCTTAACAGTAAGAAAGGTTGAGTGTGTGTGTGCTGTTTCTGGTAAAAGGCAGGGCGCCTCCCTGTGATGATGAAAAACAGATGTGTGGGCTTTAACTCACCACAGAAAAAGTCCCTAACAGTCCCAAGCAGAAAATCAGCAGAATTACCTCATTCTGGAAAGTACAGAGAAACACGTGATGGAAGTCCCCACCCTTCCACAGAAAGGAGGGAGGGGGGCGAGCCAGCCCAAAAAGAGTATAAAAGGTCAAGTAGTCCAGCAGTAAAGAGTCTTCGTGCCATCGACCGGAAGAAGAGCAGCAAAGCAGCAAGACACCAAGAGCAGAGGAGCAAGCAGATCTGAAGATCATCTCATCTGGGACAAGCTGACAGATTCCCCTCCGGGGAGTCTAAGGACCGAAGACCGAATTGGACCCAGCCCAACTCTGAGAACATCTTTTCAGGCAACAATCTGATGCACCTCATGGGGGTAAAACCGACTGCTCTAAACTGTCCTGCCGTCTCTAAATTACCAGAAAATGCCACACCACTTAATTAGAAAGATAGTTCAGCAAGTTAGAGCTTTTTATTTTTATCACCATCAATTATTAATCAATATTTTTAATCTGTATAACCAAATGTGGCATTTCTTGCAAATTCCTATTAAACTGCTTACAGCATCATAAAGACAAATTATCTGACTGGACATTGATTTTTCAAGTTGTCCTTTAAGGTTTTTCTCTGATTACAAGAGAGTTTTGTTACTGTAAGGCGACAAGGTAATAACATATTAAAGAGTATGGTTACTTTGAAGTGAAAGGTAATAAAATGAGGTCATAGATCACAATAAAGTTCATTTTTAATGGTTATTAACCAGGGGAGATAGGATAACTCCCCTCTAACAGTTCCCTTGAGACCTATTGTACAGGTCACTAAATCTCATCTTGGCCACAACAAGAACTGCACATCCTACGAGGGAGCGGCTGCCAGAGAAACGATAGTGACCGGCAAAGTGAGACGTCCTGAGCTACTGCGCCGACACAGAAGCCGGGGTTCACGAAGGGAGCGACTATCGGAAGGAGGGCAGCTGGAGGTCGAGCTTAAGGCTCCCGCCTGATGTCTCCTGGAGGAGACACGTCAGACTCAGCCGCACCGGTCATCCCCAGGTGGTTATAGGTCTGATCCATCGCCTCCAGCTCAACAAAGAGACATCGACTCCTCTCCAAGACCCACCAGTGTCCGGGTGGATAAACTGGGGGAGGAGCCACAAAGGATTTCACTCATTCTGTGCTAAAGCTAACTGTTGACATAAAAAGTCCGATATTTTATCTGTAAATAATACTCATACCCTGCCACAGGAAACCATTGCTTAAAAATGCAGTTAAACAAACCAAAATGATTTTCTAATAAATGAACTCACAGTTAGGGCCTACTGCACACTTTATGCCTAGGAGTGTGAGTAAATATGTTGATTTTTTTCGTATGGATTTAACTCAATAAAACTCAGCTCCCCTGCAGCAGTAGAGGCTGGGCAGGCCTCTTGCTGCTTTGACATGGATAGCAACACAGCTGGTACTGATAGGTGTAGGAGAAGGTGGAGAAACGGTCTGGGAGCTCAGCTGGTCACTTGTCGAAGGTGATTCTGAACAGAAAACCAACGATTAGCCTTGAATACGGTCATAATTAATTACTAATTACAATAAATGTTGAGTCCAGTCTGCAGTTAGCAGCAGCTAACTAGCCGGTGGCTGTAGAGCGCGATCTCTTCCGTTTACCCAAAGCAGCTCTAGTCCCACGGCTTTGAGCCACTCCAGCTGTTGTGGTCCTTCTCTGCTCTGAAAATGGGCCCAATATATTTTTAGCTTGGGCCGAGAGCGGCCGGGAGCCACAGTGAAAAGACGGAAAACGGGTGCGGAGTGGGGTGGAGCCAAACCGAACCGCGTAGGTGGAAAACTGGCTATAGATTGATTTGATTTATTGATTTAACAGGAAAAGATTACTAAAAATCAAGCCTGACTCAGCATAATTGCTGTTTTACAGCAGGTTCCTGTTCTGCAGCACATAAAACACTCAGAAATACAGCATCACAATCACAACATTATACACCATAGACACAAAGACAAACAAGCATACCAAATTTCAGGAAGGCAGCATTTGCTAAATAGSACGTCTAAATATGAGCACAACAAAAAGTGTCCAGCAGATGGCAGACAAGATTCTTCTTAAAGGRCTGTAGTTTTGAAATGGACTTTATGTTTTGAGGAATGTCATTCCATGCTTTAGTATAAACATAGAAGAAAGAACTCTGGCCGTAACAGTTTTTAAAAGTTGGTAATATCAGTTGTCCTATAGAGCCACGGGAGGAGGCGGGAGAAGATTACAGAAACACCTGGGGAGACAAGGAATCAGGTGTGCGTGGGCGGGGCTGGAGGTAAAACAGCAGGGAGAGGAAAATACAGGGGAACAGAAAAACACTTAGAAAATGAAGACAAAAACACAGATCATCGAGGACCAGAGTTCAACACCTGTGCTGTAGATCAATACCACTGACCTCACATCATGAGGGTCCTGCAGAGACTGATCTTCAGAAACTCAGACCTCCTGCAGTTTCCCAAAGGTTGGACATACATTTAACAAAACGGTTCTGTGTGACTTCTTCAGAACCTTCAGTCCCATCAGCCCAGGCTGCTGAAGGTGAACCTGGAGGATGGGCAGGTGAAAGCTCCCCTGATGGGCTTCATTAATGACTGGAGACTCCTGGAGTCCTGATGTCCTCAGAATCCTTTTAAAAAAGGCAGTTCTTAGTCTCAATTTATCTTAGAAATCAAACCAATCTTTATTTTTTTCCTGTACAGGTTGTGAAAATAGAACTTCACTGGCCCGTACTTCCTGTGAGTTTTCAGGACCACCTCAGATGTTTCATCACTGTCAACTGTTTTCAGATCTATTGTCATCAAATTCAAAATTTTCCCCAAAAATTGTTTTTTTATTTAAACATTTAGTGTGTTTACCTGTTTTGTCATAAAATGGGGATTTAAGGGATTTAAAAATCATTTAATTCTGTTTTTTTTTTACTGTACATGTTGCACATATTCCAACTGTTCAGACATGCTTATTCTAGAAAAAACGATGTTTTAGAAAAAGTTTTTTAAAAATCTGAATCTGTAAGTTTGTAATACAGTTTTTATTGACTGGTTTGACCTGTTTAAAGGAACTGGGAACCTCTCAGTCTTCATCATCACCATCTCAGCAGAGCAGAAGACACCTCTTGCAATATGTTAACCCATTCTCATTTGACACAGTTTTCCACCCTTTTGCAAAACAGTTATCACAGATGTCATTCAAGACGTCCAAACTCCGTTTAAGCTGTCAGTATGAAACACAGAAAGCACCTGTTTGACACTTCTTCACAGAATTTTTCAATTTGCAATCAGTCTGCAGGCCTGTGTTGTTCTCTTATACTCAAGAAATGTTATGTTGTTGTTTTTTCCTCATCTGTCCTTGTGTGGTTTTTAGTTTTTATAGGAGGGTTGCTCCTCCTCATGATGTCTTCATGAAGATGATCCTTGCTTTGTGTAGGGTTTGTTCAGGGTCAGTGGCAGCATGACCCAGAGTTCCCATGTTTGTTATGTTCTGTCTTCTTCTAAATGGTTGTTCTGAACTATAATTTCATTGTGCTCTGTACAATGACAATAAAGGTCCAATCTAATCTAATCTAATCTAGTCTAATCTAATCTAATCTATAAAGGCCTACTATAGATTTTTGTTCTTTACTGTAAAAGACTGCTTTTTATTTGCCTAATTTCTCACACAGTAAAGGATTTTATTTTTATTTCCATGTATTCTCTGTTGGAATACAGTTTTTATTGATTGTTTTTGAGATGGTGATGAGTTTCTTCAAACAGGTCAAAGCAATCAGTAAAAACTGTTTCATTTATCAGGAACAGTCTGAAAAAATAATGTAATCAATAAAATTTGCATCAAACCATATCTGCTTCTGGATGCATTTTTGCAAGAGGGCAAGTTTGACTACAAACAGCACGGCCATGTAAGCTGCGTTCAGTCAGGCTACAGTGACAATGAATGGTGCACTGATTCACACGAGTGCTGTATTTTATATTTTGTTGCCCCTTGTGTACTGATTGTTTGGAGGTGTTCATACATTGTGTCAAAGTTGAGTTGTTTGAAGGCAAAGTTTGCTTTTGTTCCATATTTTAAATGTTTTGACACAGTTGTTGCCTTTTGCAAACTAAATGTGTCATTTTGACCACTGTGTCAGTGTCCAGGCCTCTGAGTTAACTGTTTTGAAAATGTGGTTTTTGAGTTGACGTCTGTGTCAAACCAGTTAATAAAAACTGTAACACAGATTGTATAGGAACCAGCTGCACCCATCATCATCATCATGTCTTCAAACATTTCTGTATTTTTTTTCCACCATCATTCCTGACTTGTGACTCCGGGCTGCTCTGTGTAAAAAAAACGCTGCGTCATGCTTTGGCGCGCGGGAAGATTTTACACCTGTGCGTCATGTCGGTGTGGAAGAGGGCTCTCATTCCAAACATCTCCCAATTCATCAAAACATTTGGGCCGAGCTCACAGTCCTCCATCTGCTGCCCGCAGCTGGGCTGAGGCCGGCCGCGTGAACCTGGACTCCTTCAAGATCCGAGTCTGGATCCGAGCCAGGTTCAGTCTGTCAGACCAGCCTGAACAGATTCTCCCAGACATCTCATTCCTGACACGGCTCTGTGCCCACCCCTCATCATCATCATCATCTGCCTTTTCCCTCCTCTGAGGGTCTCTGCTGAGCTTTAAGACTCCTCTTCCTCAGAAGTCTTCCTCAGCAGCAGCTGACCCATCATGGAGACCTTTACGCACAGATCCTCCGTCCTCTGCTCCGTCTGCTTGTTTTTACTTTGTTGATGCAGATTTGTTTTATTCTCTTCAGTTGTGTCTGTGGAGATGAGCTGTTTGGATCCATAAAAACACACAGTGTGGTTAATATGAACTTTTTTCCAAGTGGAATCTGTTTTTATGTGTCTGTAGCAGTCTGCTGGTTCCCAAAGGTCCACGCGTCCTGGTGGTAAGTTCTGATCTGACCCAGCTGGGTTCAGGGTCGATGTGAGCCTCCTGGCTCTGATTAGGTGAAAACATTCCTCCAGTTGTTTATTTGCAGCTTGTTGACTGAATGTTTGGTCAGACTGAAGTATTACATTTTAATATCTCTTCATTTATTGTCTTTTCCCAGAAAATATTACATTTCTTCCGTGTTCTGTTTCCAAATTCCATGTTGGATCCTGTGTGATAATTTAGATGCTGTTTGAATAACAGTTCTTTAAACTTTCACGCAATAGTTTTTATTCTTGTATTTTTTGGGCATTAAACTAGTTCAGCATCCTTACAGACTCAGACAGAGGCGGTTTTAGTTTATTTTTCTGGGTGCTCAGCTCTGAGCAATAATAAATCTCAGCATGATTTTGGCGAGAAAAATGACTGGGTTAGTGACCATCCCAAATGAACTGCAGACAAGTAAAATGATTTGTACCGTGAAGTAGAAATCAACAGTAAATAAGAAATGTTCTGCTTTTGAAAATTACTTTTATTTTGAAAGTGTCTGTGTTTGTCCCAGAGGGTGGGTTGGGGGATTGGCATTTTAAATTATTTTTATTTTTATGGAACGACAAATGATTAAAAGAGGGACAAATGTTAATTTTGCATTCTGTTTAGCATTCTTAAAGTCTTTTTTTTTACTTCTTCACGTTAGGGTCTGACAGAAAAGGTTTGAGAGCTATATAAACTGCCCCAGCTGGCATTTTGAATTCTAGTCACTGTTGAATCAACGTTAGGTGGTTGTGTTGCACCATTAAATTTTGTTTTGATTTTGCAAATCTGATCCGCATCATTTGTACATCATGCTTTTCACCATGGGTGATTTTGCCTACATTAAGTTAAAGGGGACCTATTATGCAAAATTCATTTTTTAAAGTTTTTTTTACTCAACTTTGTACTTCTTAAAAAAACAGTCCTAGGACCAAAGAAAAAATGCACCCAGGGGCATATTTACTGTAAGTAAATGTATTTTTATTGTATATTGACGACAAGTTTTATACTTCTGTCATTTTGTGATGTCACAAGCCGTAAGACAACCCACCGGAACCTGCGTTCAGCCCCTTACCTAGCAATCCCTGGGTGAGGCTCCACCTCCTCAGTATAAAAAGCC